TTAAGGCTGTATGTTTGTGATTCTCTATGTCTGTCAGTCTGTGTGTCTGAGCCTGTTTCCCCGCGGCTGTGTGTCTTTACGCCTGTGCACTTTTAAGGCTGTATGTTTGTGATTCTCTATGTCTGTCAGTCTGTGTGTCTGAGCCTGTTTCCCCGCGGCTGTGTGTCTTTACGCCTGTGCACTTTTAAGGCTGTATGTTTGTGATTCTCTATGTCTGTTGGCCTGTGTGTCTGAGCCTGTTTCCCCGCGGCTGTGTGTCTGTACGCCTGTGCACCTTTAAGGCTGTATGTTTGTGATTCTCTATGTCTGTTGGCCTGTGTGTCTGAGCCTGTTTCCCCGCGGCTGTGTATCTATAACTTTCATTTCCGCAGAGCCCCTCTCACCATGGTAAACACAGCGGTCTGCGTGAGCCGTGGAATGGCCTGACTTCCTGTGATCCTCGCTGGGCGTCCGGTTCCGGGGACACTCTCTGCTTTGGAGGCTCATAGGAAGTTAGGTTGAAGCTGGTGTTGATAGGGGAGCTGTGGTGATTGGTTGAGCACATGCCCAGAATATCTGTGTGTGTGTGTGTGCATGTGTGCAAGCCTTGGGTGTCCCTGTGAGAGTTTTGTATGTTTTGTATGTGTGCTTGTGTGTAAGCTCTGAATGTGTGTGTGTCTGTCTGTGAATGTGTGTGTGTGTGTTTGGGACAGAGTGTCAGTTCAGATCTTCTTAGACGTCTTTATCCACAGCCCCTATCTGCATGGTTGTGGTGTGAAACAGAACCATGACCTTCATCTCTAAAGGAGGAAGTGGTCACACCATCATCTCCGGGGGCCTGTGGTTGTGCTGTTAGCAGTGGAGGTTAAAGTGCTAGCTGGATTGTTGAGGGGCCCCTTGTCCCCTCTCCCCCCCCTTCACCCATGACGCCCAGGCTGGCTCTGACCTGCCATGGGGTCTGGAAATCCGCCTTGTCTCCATTATTGCATTTTAACCCCCAGTAGCTGTTTAAAAGTGAAGTTTTTTTGTCACGCCTGCAGATTTGTCTGTCTCCGGAGAGACTGTTAAGGTATGTCTGTGGTGCACCAGCAGATATTTGCAGCATTATTAATTTTCTGTGGGGATTTGTCAGGCCCCGCCCCTCCCCAAACACACAGGCCCTGGAAAGTCTGGGGGGAGCATGAAGTAAATTAAAACAAACACCCTGAGAAAGCACAGAAATGCTGAGCGCCTTAAGTACGCATTTTTAAGGAAAGAATACTGCCGCCCATCGCCATGGTTACGGATCAGCCGGCGTGGCCGGGGAATGGGGCCGGGGTGGGTGAGCTCACCGGGTCTGGGCCCAGTCCGCAGGGCCGGGAGATGTCGCTTCCAGACAGCACCTCCCCTGGAGACGAGCAGGTCCTGCAGAATAAATGGTCTCTAGGTGCTGGATGAGCCACCTAATGAGTTATTGATCTTCTGGGAGGGAGCATGTCAGCAAGGAAGATGAGAACTAAATAAACAGCGAGGGGGGGGGAGGTCTAACAGAACCAGAAGACCCCCCACCTCCCACCCTGTCTAGCAGTTCATCCCCCCCAAATGTGATGGGTTTTGTCCCCGGTTCTGCTGGCTCGGCGGGTCGTGGCTGGGTGGGGCTCTGGCCAGGGAAACTGCTAACCGTTGGGGGGGGAAAAGAAGATGGTCTCCAGAGCCAGCAAACAGCCTGCAGCAGTGCTAGCTTCAGACATAGACCCATGTGATCCACATGCACGGGACAGACTGTTTAAAAGCCTCTTTATTTCTGAATGCTGCTCTTAAGTCCAGTATGGGAACAAAACGGCTATTTAAGAGGCATAGAAACAAATGGCTGAGAGCCTGAATCGCCTGCATGTATTTGCCTGGTTTCCTAAGACGTGTCACATTTTCCGCGGCCGCCGGTCCAGCGAGGCCCTCGCGCTGTCATACGTGTATCTTAATTCCGACGGTGACCCTGCTTTTTTTAACGATGATGACTCATCGACCTGTTTCGATCACTAGTGTGGCTTAATTGAATAATTTGGGTGATGACTGCACTCCGTGTTGAAGTGCACTGCTGTTTTTGGCTCCAGGAGGGTTAGCGTTAGCATTTGCCACCCGTCGCCATGCCGACGGGGTCCAGGCACTCCCCGGCTCCCTGAAGACCCAAGGCAAGATGCCAGGGAGGCTGACCGTGGAGATGCCCGCTGAGTCGTTGGGCTCCAAGCCTGGATCCCATCATCTTTTTACCCTGAACTGTGTCCCGAATCAGGATCTGCAGAGGCGCTGCGCACATTCGCCTGGCCTGTGAGCCACATAACCTGACTCCCTGCGGGTTTTAAGGTGGGGGATGTCATGTGGTGACCTTCTGGTGCCCAAAGCTGGATGGGTTGCGCTCACATCCACAACAGTGTCTCATATGGTGAGCGATTAGATCGGTCGCCTCACATAATCGTGGTGAGTGAGTGGGACAGTCAGGCACGTGTCACGAGGGCATTGTCAGGGGGTAGTGGGTGGCTTACTGGGTTAGAACACTGTGCTCATGATTGGAAGGTCGGCAGTTCACATCCCAGTGTGATTTCATTTTCAGATACCTGAGCAAGGCCCTATTGTGTCAGTTTTGGATAAAAGTAAGAAACCTGCTTTAAGGCCCATAACCTTGGGTACAACAGCAATGACCTCTGTGGGATTTCCTGACCTCTTGCCTTTCCTGCCCCTGCAGTCCTAGCTGTACTTTTTAATTTTCTTACTAGGTCCTCTCTTATAATTTCATAAGTAAAGACACGTCTATTGAAAACTGTATGAATTGGATGTAATATACCAAATGTTTTTTTTCTCAGCCGGTTTAATATTGCTGTTTTCAACGAGCTGTTTCCCGAAATGAGCTTTTGCTTTGGTTGTCTGCCCTGAGCCGAGAAACTATGTCCAAGAATGAGTTTAATCTAACCCGCCTCTCAGCCCTAAACAGATCAAAGAAACGCTATGAAATTTCATTTTGACTGAGCTGCAGATTTTCTGGATGGTTTCTGGTTGGCTGTAAGCACCGGGCCTTGCGGGGGGGCCCGGGTGGGTTGGGGGGGGTGGGGGCAGGGGGAGATCCCGCGTCGCTGCATGAGAGCGTGATTCATATCTTACCTCCGCGAGCAGGGCCTGCTGACTCACTCCTGCCCGGCAGGGCCCGCGAGACCATGATGCGATGTGACATGCGTGTGTGTCTGTGTTTGCGTGTCTCCATGGGACCGTGGAGGTTGTGTGGGGAGTATGATTTGAGTGCTTTGCTGGTCTGTTTGCTTCTTATTTTTTTTAAGGTTATTGGGGTGTCATGATCGGGGTGGATTAATTAATAGCCCTCATACTGTGTTGAGAAAAATCACACGTATTTAAACCGGCAACACCCAAGTGTCCATACTGACGTCTGCCTGGGCCCCCAGAAAAGTTAATCAGCTCCTGGTCATACTATAGATATAGATAAAAAAATACTGAGAAATGAATATTTAATCATTTTAATATGGACAGATGATCATGTTTGAATTTAACCAGTTTTTGCCAGTATTTTACCAGTTTTCCCGGAAGTCACTCTCTCATTCACGCACATCCGCCCCTGAGGCGTCTGCGGAGCTGATAGCCTGCCGGTGAGCGGCCCAGTTGGATCTACGTGCTTTGTCTCCCCGTAAATCCCGTAAGAGTGTTTTTAGAGTTTTTGAGGAGCTCCGTGATCCGGGCGTGCCGGTGACTCCGGCGTGAGATCCAGCGGGATCGGCGAACGGGAGCAGCACCGATCTGGCCCCCACCGTGACCCCATGGTGTGCTGGAAGTGCACGTGTCATGGCGACGTGACAGGAGGCGTCCTGGGCCTGCAGAAAACATATTTATTATCCGACAGGTCTGTGTGACGTGAGCGGATAGGTGCTGCGTGACTGATGCTGCCCCCGGGATATTTATAGCCCCATCTATAGACGCCGTAAACCGGGTGCCATTTCATGACACTGCCAAGGGACTCTGAAGATAAGCATGGAGCTGTTTGCTGCTTCCTGTATGGCTTTTTTTCTAATAATCTTTACAAGCCCCCAAGACGGACACCATCTGAACTTTCTCAAGGGAGGGGCTTTGATTTCTGTCGCCCAGAAAGAGTGGAATTCACTGCATTGCCATCCTTTTCAAGTAATATGGGTTTAGCTTTTCCATTTTTCTTACCTTTCTCTTGATACCTTAAGTAAATTAAGTAACTGAGTAATTAATAACTACGAGAAAAAAATCTCACATCTCCCAGTAACATGGAGGTTGATGTAGTACTGGGGCTCTCAAGTTTCATCAAAAATTTGGAGTGAGATTACATCTGCTAGGGGCGGAGTGTGTGTCTCACGGGCAATGCATGAAACTTCAGGGTATTAACTCTGTAGTGATGAACTCAGTGGAAAACTCCAATCCTTATGCCTGCGCCTTCTCCATTAATTCTATATAATGGGAGACCTTGGTGGGTGGTATCCCTTACGTCTCAGCGTGAGAAACACGAGGTGTGGCATGTGAGCGTGTGAACTGGGCGAAATGTCTGTCACATGGTCAATGCGTGACATTTGAGAGCCCTGTGTAGTACTGTGATGTTTCTATTTTTTTGTTAATCTAGCGCTTTGGAAAGTAGCCCCACAAAACAGCTAAGTGTGTACCTGGAGCATGTAGCCGGAGTGTGTAGCTGAAGCGTGTAGCCAGAGTGTGTAACTGGAGCGTGTAGCCAGAGTGTGTAGCTGAAGCTTGTAGCCAGAGTGTGTAACTGGAGCATGTCGCCAGAGTGTGTAGCTGAAGTGTGTAGCCAGACCGTGTAGCTGGAGCCTGTATCCAGAGTGTGTAGTTGAAGCGTGTAGCCAGTGCGTGTAGCTGGCGTGTGTAGTTAGAGTGTGTAGCTGAAGCATGTAGCCAGAGCGTATGGCTGGAGTGTGTAGCCAGAGTGTGTCACTGGAGTGAGTAGCCAGAGTGTGTAGCTGGAGTGTGTAGCCAGAGTGTGTAGCTGAAGCATGTAGCCAGAGCGTATGGCTGGAGTGTGTAGCCAGAGTGTGTCGCTGGAGTGTGTAGCCAGAGTGTGTAGCTGAAGCGTGTAACCAGAGCATATAGCTGGAGTGTGTAGCCAGAGTGTGTAGCTGAAGCATAGTGCCAGAGCATGTAGCCAAAGTGTGTAGTTGAAGTGTGTAGCCAGAGCGTATGGCTGGAGTGTGTAGCCAGAGCATATAGCTGGAGTGTGTAGCCAGAGTGTGTAGCTGAAGTGTGTAACCAGAGCGTATAGCTAGAGTGTGTAGCCAGAGTGTGTAGCTGGAGTGTGTAGCCAGAGTGTGTAGCTGAAGCGTGCAACCAGAGCGTATAGCTAGAGTGTGTAGCCAGAGCGTGTAGCTGGAGTGTGTAGCCAGAGTGTGTAGCTGGAGTGTGTAGCCAGAGTGTGTAGCTGAAGCATGTAGCCGGAATACACAGTCCCAGCTCAGAGGTCGAGGCCCCCCCTACACTTGGCAGAGAACTCCACACCCTATCATGCAGCTCAACCCCCCCCCCTCAGTAAATTCACTAAAGTCCTTGTATCCCTGGAAGCTCTTGAAAAAGCTTGTATTGAACTGTGAAAGATTTCGCAAGAGCACAGCACGTGTATTTACTGATCGGTGCCCCCCCCCTGCAGGCCACTCCTTAGCCCCCTCCTCTGCCAGTTGGCGCTCAGCCTTGAACTTCAGCCATTAGCCAGAGTAAACCCAAGAGCCATAAAAAAGCATAATTCATGATGCCTTTATGTTAGTTACTGGTGCGGCTTATTTAGCATTAGTGGCAGCAGCCCGATTGCACCTGTAGTTCCTTAACTGCTCTCTTGTCTGAAAGGGGGGGGGGGGGCGCTATTAGGCTCAGGACACCCCTTGCTGTCAGAGAATCTCGGTCCCGCTCTAGGGCTGCTACTGAATTGAGTTCTTATCCTTTAGAGTCCTTAATAAGCAAAAAGAAACAATAGTTGGTGACTAGGGGAAAGGAGAATGGAAATGGGGAATATTTCAAGCTGGGGGCTGGTTGGCCTGCTGAGGGTATGTAAGGCTCTCTTAGAGGCACTGGACCGGGGTCTAAGATGTCCCTGAGACCTGGTGTGCAAGGTGTCCTTTAGGCCTCTGGAATTAAGGGAAAGATGTTCCGATCATTCGGCATCTTTTAGGCCTGAGGTTTAAGGTGCCCTTTAGGCACACAGTCCAGAGTCCAGAGCAGGGGCCTGAGTCAGTACATTCCCTGGGAACAGAACAGCGGTGTGTGACCCAGATGATGCCACCTCGACGATGCTCACCCATTTCCTGACAGAACAATCAGGGCAGCTATTTATAGGTCCCCCCCCAACCCCCCACCTTGACATGGTGGACAGGAATAATTCTCCATGACACGGTGATGAGATCACATCTGGAAGAGGTGCTGCTGTGCCTTCTGCCGTCACCATTGAGGATGAGCGGCGACATGGGCCACACAACCTCTGACCTTCTGCATCACTGTCCATCTGACACGTGTGTGTCTGTGGGGGGGGGGGGATGATCCGTGACCGGTGTCGTTGAAATATTAACGCGGAGGGCGGGCAAACTTCTGACGGCAGATGCCGCTTGGAGTTTGGCCATTGCAACTGGCTTTACAGGAAGCCTGGGTAAACCGGCTGTGTGTGTGTGTCTGTGCTTGTGTCTAGATGTCTGTGTGTGTGTATCTGTGTGTCTGTATGTCTGTGTGTGTGTGTGAGAGAGACAGAGACAGAGAGAGACTTTCTGTTTTCTGATTGTCTATTGTCCTCTTTTTCAACCAAGTTTTTGGTTGCCAACCATCTGCAAAGCGCAGTGTTGGGGGCTGGAGCGTTTGCGCGTGTTGATCTGTGGGTGCGTGCCTGACCATGGCCCTCTTTATCATCTACCCCCCCCCCCCCACAGAGAAGCCACAGAGTGCCGACCAGATGGAGCGCACGCTGTTGAAGGGCGTGTTCAGCGTGCGCAAGGGCAAGACGCAGCTGCACAAGTGGGCGGAGCGACAGGTGATCCTGTGCGGCACCTGCCTTATCGTGGCCTCCGTCAAGGACAGCCTCACGGGCAAGATGCACATTCTGCCCCTGGTGGGGGGGAAGGTGAGGAGGGCAGGAGTCAAAGTGTCCAGTCAGCAGGAGGTGGGGGCGGCGGGGAAGGAATGGGAGGGTTGTTTTCAAAAGATCAGCTTTCATCCCCCCCACCAACTAAGGGACATCACAGCAGCTTTAGTCAGGCTCCTCATGTGACCCCGTTATTTCACTGCGAGATTTGGTCAGCGGGTTCTAGTGGTGGGCGGAGTTTGCAAGGCTCATTGGAGATACTCCCATGTTTGTGCAGGTGGAGGACGTGCGGCGGAGGCAGCACTGCTTGATGTTCAGCTCGGCTGGACCCCAGGCCCAGACCTACTACGTCAGCTTCGACACCATAGCTGAATATCTCCGGTGGCAGCGGCAGGCTTCAAAGGTAAGGCCCCACCCATGCGTGTCAGCCCCTCCCACCTGAGATGGCCCCACCCATTCGTGTCAGCCCCTCCCACCTGACATGGCCCCACCCATGCGTGTCAGCCCCTCCCACCTGACATGGCCCCACCCATGCGTGTCAGCCCCTCCCACCTGAGATGACCCCGCCCATGCGTGTCAGCCCCTCCCATCCATCTAGTCCTGCTCATATGTGTTGGATCCGCCCATACATGCTGGCCCCGCCCACCTGAACTGGTCACTCCCTATGCTTTTGCGTGTGTTTCCCTTGTAAAAAGTCGGTTGCAGTATAATGAGATGATAGGACTGGTTTTGGTCTGTTTGAAAGGGCATGACCCCCCCTTTTGCTGCAAGCCTGTGGGAAGGGGGGTGCCCTTCATCCGTGTGTGTTTGTGAGGGACCTTCACAGACCGTTCGTCCTCTTGTGCTTTTAAATCCCGATTTAACAACATTTGCTCAGCTCTCTCCCTCTCTCTCCCTCTCTTACTCTTCCTCCCTCCCTCCTTCCCTATCTCTCTCTCTCTCTCTCTCCACCCTGAAGAGCCATCTGAATACCCCAGTGGATGCAACACAAAGCGAGCAAACAAAACAAAATCTGTAAAAAGTTCTGGCTCAGTCCATTGGTGGTGGTTATGGGGGGGGTGGCATGTAAGCGGGCAAATGTGGTCATGTGACGTGGGCGTCAACATTAGTGAGAAGAAAGAAGTTGGGGGGGGCGTCAAAGCCCTTTAAATATTAGGACATAGACGAGCCCTTGTGCGAGCCCAAATAGCCGTTAGCCGTGACCCGGCGGTAGTGGGGGGGGGGGTCTGAGATTTCAGCAGGATGCTCCATACAAAAGGGGGGGGGTAGCAATGGACTTATGTGGCAGCACTTTGCGAATGTTTTGCCTCAGACTGCCTGGAATTGCTCCACTTCTGCAATTTTTGGAGGCTCGAAAACCAGGCAGATAAGGGGGGGTAAATAAGTTAATAGGCCTTACATGTATAGTTTTCTACTTGTTTTGAAAAAAGAATTATTTTAACATACAGAGTTAAGTAAATTTGATAAATAGTACAGCACAGTATTACTAAACAATAATGAATAATAAAGCTGTTTAGCTGTTTCACGGGCTGCTCGTGACCTCGAGGTAACAGCTGCACCCTGTATCCAGCTTGGACCCCGGGGGGGCAGAGGTCTGTGCTGATAAAGGCAGTTTCGGTCTTCTGGAGGAAGGATCCCACCTTCAGGGGAGGGTTATGTTTAAGGAGCCATTAATCAGGGACCGGCAACCGGGTCGGGGGGGG